CGGCGCCCTTGAAAAGCACCTTCCAGGCATCTTCGTACGTCGTGTCGAAGAGCCTGCTCAGAGTTTGGTGCCGCGCCGGGTCGAACTCCCACAGGTTGAAAGCCCATTGTTGACACGGGAGGATCCGGCGGATGAGTGTAACCTGGACTACGTTGACAAGTTTGAGCTTCTTGTCCACCAGGGTTTGGACGCATGTTTGGAGTCCGGTCAGCTCTCCTTTTTTACCCCACGACAGGCCCGTCTCCTTCCAGGAGGTGAGTCGCGTAGGGGGTCCGAATCGGAACTCGGGGGCTGCGACCCATTCAGGGTCGCGTGGCTCGGTGATGTAAAACCACCCCGATTGCCACCCCTTCAGGGTCTCCACAAAGGAGCCCTCGAGCCATAAGACGTTGGGCATCTTGCCCACCATGGCGCCTCCGCACTCCGCCTGATTGCCGCGCACCACCTTCAGCTTGACATTGAAAGTCTTGAGCCATAGGCCGAAATGGGGGCGGATGAGGAAAGCCTCGCACACGACGATAAACGCCGAGATGTTGAGGACAAAGTTCGGGGCCAGATCGTGGAAATCCAGGCCATAGTAGAACATGATCCCCCGGACAAATGGGTGGAGAGGGAAGCTTAGTCCGCGGAGGAAATGGGGGAGGAACACCACCCTCTCATGGGGCCTAGGGGTGGGGATGAGCTGCCCCTCTTCAGGAAGCCGGTGTGCAATGTCGTTAGACAAGTATCCGGCCTTCCTTAGTCTTTTGATGTGTCCCTCCGTAACGGAGGAGACCATCCACTTGCCTCCCGCTCTGGACATGGCTGAAGAAGGTTGAGGTGGGGAATGCGGACTTGGGCGCTGGAGCTCGGGTGCGCAAGAATGGATAGGCAAAGGAGGAAGAAGGCGTAGGTGAAAAGGTGGATCCTTATCCTCTTATATGGGTGGACGCAACTATGTGTCCCCACTAGTCTGGTAAAACTCGCTTATCCCCAAGCGCCGTAATCAATGGCGCGGTTGGGTTAGCCACGCCCGTATTGATGAGAATCCCGGAATAAGGGGACACGATCTCTACTTCGACAAGACATGCCAAGAAAAACGTCTCGCATGACGCGCTGAGGTGGGATAATAAAACAATTTGAATAAAGGCTTGGCCGTGGTGCGTCACACTACGGAATACATCAGCAGATTAGATTTGTGAAAATATTATTCTCTCTATGGCAATATGTGGAAACTTATTTTACAGAGTCGGACACTATCTTTGTGTTCAAAATCTTCTATGAAGTACTTGGAGGAGGAACCCGCCTTGCAATGCCGAAGACAAACTGCGCGCCGGACTCGTCGTCATTGAAGCCTGGTTCAGGGGCTACTGAGGGAGTCCTGGATTAGGGGGTGTCCGGATGGCCGAACTATACCTTCAGCCAGACTCCTAGACTATGAAGATACAAGATTGAAGACTCCGTTCCGTGTCCGGAAGGGACTTTTCTTGGCGTGGAAGGCAAGCTTAGCGATACGGATATGTAGATCTCCTACCATTGTAACCGACTTTGTGTAACCCTAACCCTCTCTTGTGTCTATATAAACCGGAGGGTTTTAGTCCGTAGGACAACATACAGAACAACAATCATACCATAGGCTAGCTTCTAGGGTTTAGCCTCTCTGATCTCGTGGTAGATCTACTCTTGTACTACCCATATCATCAATATTAATCAAGCAGGACGTAGGGTTTTATCTCCATCGAGAGGGCCCGAACCTGGATAAAACTTCGTGTCCCTTGCCTCCTGTCACCATCCGGCCTAGACGCACAGTTCGGGACCTTCTACCCGAGATCCGCCGGTTTTGACACCGACATCCACCAAATTCCTCTCTCCTTTCTAACATGGTATCTATCGCAAGTCGATCCTAAACCCTAGCAGCCGCAGCTTCCGCATCTGCATGCCGCTCCCGAGGCGGTCGGCCTCCATGACCGCCGCCGGAGGCCGCGCCGTCCGTACCTAGGGTTCATCTGCCTGCCGTGTTGGTCGGCTGTCCTAAAGAGTCTTTTTTCCCGATCCTTTGATCTGGATTTTCTCTCTCTCGCCGATCGCTTTGATCGGCGTCTACTTTTTGGTTTTCCGGTCTATGTAATCCGGTTTGCGTCGCCCACCTTCGCCGTCAACCCCGTGCGCCTCTACTCCAACACCGGCGCGATCGACCGACTTCTTGACCAACCGGGCGGCCTCGCGCGTCGTTCGCGCGTCTGCCCGTCGGTCGCCCCGACCCGACGGCCTCACGCGGTGTCCTTGCGTCGGCCCGCTGGTCGCCCCCGGCGGCCTCGCGTCATGCGGCGGCCCTTCACCGCCGTTGTTCGCGCGACGGCCCGCCCGTCGATCTACGCCGCCCGTCACCGCCCTGCTCCGACCGGGACTCCTGCATCACCCCGAACCGGCGGCCTCACGCCATGTGGCGGCCAATCATAGCTGCCCTGCCGCCCGCCGCCGACAGCTTCATCTCGGACTCCGCTGCCACCGCGCCTTTGTCGAGCGGCGTCCCCGACCTCGCGCGCGATCGGATTGATCACCCGCCCGCCTGCCGCTGTGATCCGCCTCATCTACGCCGTGCAACCAACGGGCCTTCGCAGGCCCCGTGAAGACTGTCCCGAGTTCAGCGCGCCCCTCTACCGATCGAGCAATGGGTTGCCGCTGCGTCGCCCCGTCTGGCCGCAGCGCCGCCGCCCCGTGGTTCTTCTCCCAGCTGTACCAACCCGCGTCACCGCTGCGTCGCCCCTTCGGGCCGTAGTACCGCGGCCCACGGTCCACCGCCGCCCAGAGGCCGACCGCCCCAGGTCGTCCCCCTGGCGGCACCGACCCTCGCATCGCCACTGCGTCGCCCCGTCGGGTCGTAGCGAGCGTGGCACGTGGTCCACGCCACCGTCTAGAGGTCGTCCCCGCGGTAGCACCGACCCGCGCTCCTCCGCCGCGCCGCCCTTCCGGCTGTCGCGCCGCGGCCCGCGGTCCCTGCCGTCGCCCCGAGGTCTTCCCGCCGTCACCCCGACCTGCCCACCGCCGCTGTGTCGCCCTTTCGGACCGTAGCGCGGCGGCCCACGGTCCACTTCGTCGTCCACACGCGTTGACTTCCCGTGGTATGCGTCGCGCCACCTCCCTTGGCGTGGGAACGCCACCGTCCGCGCCGGTCTTCGTCATGCTGTCGGGTTCTTCGCCTACTTCAAGCACCGCCGCGCTCCTAACCTAGGCGCCGCCGCCGCCGCTCTTCTTTGGCCGCCGTTGCTACCCACGTAGCCGCCGCCGCCGCCCGTCCACCTCCTTCGTCTTCGTCCAGCACCGGCCCGTCGCCAGCATCGCCGTCATCTACCCCGACCACTTCGTCTACTCCGACAACCGCAGGTGACATCGGCTCCGCGATGATTGACGCCGCAACCGTCGTCGAGTCCTTCTCTGCTAGCCTCTCTGACTCCTCCGACATGGCGTACAACTTGTGCAGGTCCTCGTCTATGCATGCCCGGTGCTGGCAACACCGATGCGTGCTTTCGTCCACGACGTTTCCCCGGGCCTGGCAAGCCTGGTGTGGCGCTTCGTCTTCGTCCATCTACGCATGCCCGGTGCTGGCAACACCGGTGCGTGCCTTCGTCTACGATGTGTCTCCGGGCTTGGCAAACCCGCCGCGACGCGTCGTCAACAACGTCTTCTTCCCGGCGCACCACTACTTCGACACCGATGCGCCCATGCTAACTCGACGCCTCCATGCGCCCGCGGCTCCACGGCGACATCCTCGACACCGGCTACCCCCGACTCGACATCGACCATGGTATACTTCGCACGGCTACCTCGACCACGGCTACATCACCCTACGCTCTCGGCTACATCGACAAACGGCACAAAGGGCTACCGCCTTGCTTGAGCAACCTCGTCGG